TTTTTTAAGTCCAGACAAAAAAAACAAACCAAAAATGGAGGGGTGCGTTAGGGTGGCTGTTTTACGTATTGTAAAATACTATAGAGTCTATTCTAAAACAAACCATATAAATTTTTACTTAGAAATGCTCAGAAATACTTTAAAAAGCTTAAAGATTTTTTTAAAATGCGTATTTTATAGGACTTTTTAAGAATTAGTTACTAATGGAGCTAAAGATACGAAAACTTCCTCTTTTCATAACAAAACTAAATAAAATAATAAGTAAATACCTGGTTCTGTAAGATCCATAGTAGAAATTCAAAAGAAATTGACTTTTTCACTATAAATTTAATATTTGAAAACTGAAATGAAATTGAGCGTATCGAATAATTACACGACCACGGCAAGCGAACGGTGATTTCCGACTGAGCGCATGGAGCGGGGGAAAGGCTCTAGCGCGTCGGGTTCACGCTATTGGTAGGAGGAGATACTATTGTATTTCGAGGAATAATAAAAAACAGCATCTAACTAAAACAAAAAAAATGGATTTCGCCCGACTTTTAGGGCCAAATACCTGTCTGTGCAGCTCTTTCTTTCTTCCTCTGGGTGCGGTTGAATTCTTCTACGCGATTTCCGAGATAGTTACGCGCTGCGTGTCAATATAATATATGCATACGACCGATCTGCACCGAATCTTCTCCTATCTCATAATTCTATTACTTATTCTTTCTTATTATGAATATATAAGCTTATTGAAATAAAACTTTTATAACATTGCCACATTTTTTTCGTACGTCTTTTACATGTCGCATTACATTTATAATTGTTATTAAAAAAAAATACCTTATCATATCGGTCTTCCAGTGGTAGAAGGCTCGCCTGCCACTGCAGATGCAACCGGGATTGTATTCCAAAGCACGGAGGATTAACGGAGGTGTTCAAGATAGTCATTTAGCTTTTCCGTTCCATGACGAAGCGACCAAGCATCGTACTATTCACACTGCCGGCGAGAACTCTCCCCTCCACTAGTTTGTCGCTGAGCCTGAGCGACAAGACCTATCAAAGATAATTATCACTCAGCGATGCTCACTTGTGTAAAAACAACCCACGCGTACATTTTTGCTCAGAATTGTCTTCGCAAGTGCTCTTGCTCTGCTTATACTCTTACTCACTTATAGTCCAGCGATAGAACTATCAGACCTACAGACTCGCTTTCCGCTGCTCGCCAACTCGTTTTTAGTTTTTAGCTCTACTCGCTTCTCGTTCATCGTCGGCGGTGGGACATGTGCTATACGAAAGTTAGTCAATTTCCACGATCGCAGACGGAATGCGCAAACCATTGTGTCATCTAACTTCACATTTAATATCTATGGTTATCACACTAATAGTATAAAGGCGAAAGTTTGTGAGTGTGTATGTTTGTTACTTCTTTACGTCTAAACGGCTGGAGCGATTTTAATATAATTTGGTATGGAGTTATTTGACACCCTGGATTAACACATAGGCTACGTTTGACTGCGGGAAAATATCACTAATAAACCGCGGGTAACACCGCGGGGCACAGCTAGTAATATATATTTGCAATCGATCAAGAAATTATGACGCCCTAGAGGTCACCCGCGACTTCGTTTGCATTAACTTAGTTTCTTGAAAATCCCTCGGGAACCTAATATTTTTTCAGGATAAAAGTAGCCTATGTGTTAATCTAGGGTGTCAGCTAACTCCATACCAAATTTTATTAAAATCGCTCCAGCCGCTTAGACGTGCAGAAGTAACAAACATACACACTCACATACTCACACACTCACAAACTTGCGCCCTTTATAATATTAGTATGATTTTGATAACTTTATGTGTCACTGACTGTACTCAAAGGGGATGACGAAAGAGAAAAAACTTTTACAATTTGATCCCTGAGTCCTGACTTACAAACAAAGTATCCAACTGGGACTACATATTTTCCCCGAGGAGATTAATTTCTAACAGTCGCGTTCGGAGATGATAATGTTTTTTTCTTTGCAATATCAATAGACAAAAGGTTGTTTTGACTACCATCAATTTTTAATACACGTCTCTCAGTGTGGTCGTAAGTGATCACATTAGGCTTCTGAAGAAGGATGATAGAAAAGATGGTACTTAGCGTATTACTTAAGTACTGTCTTTTGGTTGCAGTTTTATCACGAACTTCATAATTTAAGAAATGAATGTTCGGCTCATGACGGCAATGAATAAATAAAAAACCATGAATTAGCGACTGCCGTGTGAATCCGGTGTGTTTGATAGTTCATGATATCTTATTAAAGGACAATGGGCAAAACGCACCCAGCTCCGCCAGCAATGTAATCAGTATGAATCGATAGATCTATGAAAAACTAGCCTTTTTTATTATGACACCGAAAATAAATATCCTGGGAGTCAAAAGATATGACACCGTTAAAAATATCCTGGTAGTCAATAGATATGACACATAGGCATATTTAAGTAGCTGAATAAATTCATTTTATAGTACCTTCATTTTATATTATTAGTAATCGTGATAATATGCCATATCGTACTATACAACCAGATATACGACAAAGCCTGCCGACCATCCTGCGCTTGCTCTTACCGAGGTATTTCAAAACGGTTTACGGATGATGAAGGACTTGCAGTTGCAAATATCGAATCGTCTTAGTTCGTTGTGATTGTGCGCTCCCTGCTACTTAATTGATTTTTATCTAACACGCTTTGGATATTGGAACACGATTATCGGTTTTGTCAATTAGTATGGATGAACAGAAATTATGTGTTCTCCGAAGCGTGGACAAGTTTGTGTAATCTGTGGTCGCTCCGTTTTAAATATCTTCTATGTAAAACGGACAATTTACTATAACGAACAGAATGTTTAAAAAAAACCCAACCTATGCGGGGATATTTGAATTTACTCTGGCGCGGCAGAATAACATAAGGGGCACCCTTGCACCTTGTGAAGTACTCCCATAATTCCTGAGCACCCTATGTAGAGTCGAACTAACTAACTAAATTAATTCCCTTGTTTCATTAATCTTTGTTCGTTATAGTACTTGTACACATTTAACTTAAAATAGCTAAAGACCCCCGGGATGGAATTTGATGCACTTTGGCACAGACGATCTTGACTATAATACCTTTCAAACAAATGTAGTTTAAGCCGTGGCGGACGTGGGTGCAGCGGCCATACATGTTTTCCCAATGTCCTTTGCGCATTATCGGTTGTATCTTTTGATTACGTTTGCTTAGAAGTCTGTTTTTTTTCAGATTTTGAATAAAAAATTTTAGGTGACATGAAAACGGGCACTTTAGATTTTTTTTTCTCTACTTCAATAAATATTACAAGAAAGAGGTTTTATTAATTTGATGATGTATTGGCATGTTATTTGAAGCATCCTGGCATGATTCTATAAGTTGAAAATTTAAATTTTGCGGACAGCTTAGATTCCAAGATATAAACGTTATAGATTCCAAGATAGTAAATTATCAAACACACTATGCTACGAAAGTTCATTTAATTCAATTTGCTGAGATTCTCCGAATCTCTCCTAGAAGGAACAAAGAATATAAGTAGGTATAACGTTTGCGGTAGATATAAAGTGAAGGGTGTATTTACCCTACAGCTCATGTGTAGTGTATTCCCAAAAATAAACATGCATGTACAATACAATTGCCGACCAAGCTTTACAAATATATAACCATGCTAGGCTTTAAACTTCCAAAAATTTTAAATATACTCTCTTAATAAAATTCGTAATGTCTCAAGTAGAACAAGTATTAATTATACGGAAAGAGGGTTCGATACTTCAGCGTTGCTGCCTGAGTCAAGGACCAATCGAGAAGACACTCTCAGACACTCAAAAATTTACTCCCCTTAGGTACTAATATAACACAATCCACTTGGTAAACTCCCCGACCTTGACTCCAACGAATCGATTCTGCACAATGTATAGTAGTTACGCAACAAAAATCCACTAATGTGGTATTATTCAACAAAATTAAGGTTTACCTATTCCATTACTAGTCGTCTACGTTAACTTTATTTTTTTGGGAATCTCACAGTAATCTAACATTATTTATTCGGAATAAAAAGTATCCTATGTCCCAAGCCAGGTCATAGACTATAATCGTACCAAATTTCATCCCTATCCGTTCCGTACTTTTCGTGTGATTGAGTAATAACATAACTACAAACTTACAAACTTTCGCATTTATAATATTTGTAGGAAAAGATAGGTGACCCTTTGCACCAACAATTTTAATTCAAATGAAAGCTTTATTCTGATTAACACATCATTTCATCTTCGTCAATTGCTTAAAGTTAAATAAAGATAGAGTGCGAAATAAACATGATAAGCATAATTTAAGAACTTTGGAGTAATCTGTGACTATGAGTGCAAGTGTAGCTTAATCTTGCCGAAAATTATAAGCAAAACCACAAAAAAAGTTCAAGTGCGATACAATCAATCAATAATAAAAACTGCTTACATAAATTGTTATAAATAGTGATATTTTTATTAAGCCGCGTGGAATTTTTCCAGCAATTTTTTCTTTAGAATTAGTTATAAATATTTTCGTATCTTTTAAAAAAATCAAAGTCAGGGGTCTAGTCCCAGAAGGTGAGTTTCTTTAAATTTAACTATAGGCTGCTATTCGCTCGAATAGGCAACTATCCCTTTTTTGAGCGGTCTATTAAAACCGGTATTAATTACGTTTACAAAATAGGTAACAATGAAGAATAGAAGATCCTGTTTATGATATACCTACATGATACATCACTACTTGTAGGTCGATATTTTTGGACAATAGAGCTTTTTGAAAAGTAGGGCTATTATCTGGCTTTTCCCCTACAGGTCACTCTTGTCGAACTTCCAACCAGATTTTCTCGATATAAGGTCTCGATACTTAGTTCATGGGCATAATTAAAATTATAAACTAGTTACCAGCGCCAAGGAAAAAGAAATTATAAAATTCATATTTTAATATGTTTTAATATAATTTATTTAAAAAATATCCTGGTCCCATTTGTTATTTATAGAATATCTATTTTTTTAGGTTAAAAAGGTGGCATACGAGCATTTTGCCCGCCTGATGGTAAGCGGCCACCACTGTCTACCCTGACCCAATCCCCTACCCCGTGGGGCCATGAAACCTTACTCACCGACTGATCTGTTTATTCTACAGCGACCACGTTTCTCGTGCTTGCATAGAGAAGTCTCACACAATCACAATATCCAACTCCTCGCCGTGTACCAGTTAAAACGACGTACGCATCTCCTGCATGCAAAATGTTTTTGGCTTTACAGTAATCTATAGCAACTAGAATTCTAGCTTCTGCTTCAGCATTCCAATTTGCCTTTGCCATATCAAAGTAGTGAACTGCACGAACTCCTCGCCAAAATCGCAACTGTCGACCCGTATGGCACATTCTAGTTACTGCTACTACAGGACACGGTGGCTTTGCGTGAGAAAGAATTTTTGCAGTCTGTCCAGAACTTGTTAAGCAAATAATAACCGACGCTCGAGAACGCATCGCCAGCTCTACTGCGCTAATACATACTGCTTTAGATGGCTCCTTAAGAGGACTTTGCATTAAATATAAATTACCATAGATTCTTGGCTGCCACAATATATGCTCGGCTTCTCTACAAATGACGGACGCTGCTGCTAAACATTGTTCCGCCATACGATGAGGATTATAAGAAGGCGAAAGTTTCTTCAAAGGAGTATCGAAATTAAATTCTAAAGAAATAACATCCGCACCATCAATTATAAGATTAGCAATATCATTGACGCTTAGAGTTGGAATATGTTCATTTATCACTGCTTTACATATGCATGGCTTACCGATTTCATTGCATTTTGCTAAAACTTTTTTCTGAGCAATAAAAATTTTTTCAACGCACAAATCAATGCTAAGTTCATTTCGATCAAAATATATTCCATCAGCTTCTTTAAGTATACCGTCAATATTATCTAAACCTCGTACTGTGGTTATACTTGCAAAGACAAGTACGTGTTTTCCTTTTTCTGGCAATAATTCTTTAACTCGGCGCACATCATTTGCGTATTGAGCACTAGGTATCAAAATAGCATCTATATCAGAAGCAACTGCCCATTTGATTTGATCTTCTATTTGTGAAAAACGTCCTCGTGAAGTTTTGCTACAAATTTTTGATGGTGCACTGTTATCCGTATCATTAAATAAATAAAAGTTTTTCGGAACTCCAGCAATATGAACAGCCATATTTGAGCCAATTATGCCACCAACCACGACGAGACATTCTAAAGAATCTTCTCCGACTTCTAACACAGAGAGCTGGATTTTTTCTCCAGGCATCAAGCTTTCGATAAAAATGATATCACCAGATTGTAATTGCATTAATTGATCATACCCTACATAAAGACAATCAGATGTTCCGCTTTCTTTCCAGCTATCGTCTGCACTCAATTTAATTGTCATATTCTGATGAATTTCAACTACAGCATTTTGCCCACTTTTTAAATCTCCAGTTACAATAGCAGGGCCGTGAATATCTACCATCATGGCTAGAGGATAAACGTACTTCAAATCCTTACTATAGTTGTATACAGCTTGCCTTATGCTTTGAATTAACTGTGCGCAAGCATCGGGTTCTAAATCTACTAAGTCCAACTTGACTATAGTCATACCCCGTGCTATAAGTCTTTGTATAAAAGCGGCATCACGATTCATTGTTCCAATGTCGCACATTAGACCTGTCTGTAATTCTTCAATAGGTTTTTCATGAATATTAATATTACAGTAATGCTTGAGTAATGATGGCCTTGCTATTGAATTTTCGTGCTTTAGGCTTGGTGCCATTTCCAAAGGAATATTCCAGGGTAACGCCATCGCAGTAACTACTTTAAATTAAACGCAATACAAAATATAAAAGATATTATAAAACAATAATAATAAAAATATCGAAAATAAATGTAAATATAATAAAGAAAATGCAATACAAAAGGTTATGTCAATTTATTTGTATGTAAACAAAATTTTTATTCATATGCTTCATTCTCTATGATCTGTCTGGATACGTTTGATACCATAGATATGGGATGTATTTGATACGCAATTTTATTTTTATACAGCTTGTAACGAGATTTTTGCATGTTTTTTGTAACAATTCGTAAAGTTTAGACTGTTTGGTAAGGTATTCAGATAACATATATGAAATAAATCTTTTTAATTAACTTTATTAAACCTAATTTAAATTATACTAGCAAATACTTTCTTTAGCTTTATAAATTAAGCAGTTAAATTCATAACAAAATATGATCTAGATGTTAATAATCTGATATAAATTAACTGGTAAAAATATTTTTATCTTATAAATTTAATAACTGTTAGTATAATGGCAGAAAATATTAAATGCGGCTTTTCCTTATTAACAACTTTATTTTTATTTACATTTACATTATAATTACACCATTTTCAAGTATAGCAAAAACCAGAAGATTATTACTTTTTATGACACAGAATACAAAACAAAAAGGCAAATGGAATCAACTACTATAATGCCATGTATTAAATCACATATTCTTAATAATAATAATCAATACAATAGTCGTTAAGATAGTAATAGCAAGTAATAGCCATGGATAAAAATCTGCATTCAATCATGGGAATAAGGAGGCATCACTGTCATTTCAAAAAGTCGTACTTAAACATCGACACCTTAGAGTTATGAATGCACTTTTATTCAGAATTTTCCGCTCAATAGATTGGTCTATATGACGCAATCAAATTCAACGTCTAAACAGAGTTTTCCTTGGAATTTATGATGTAAGAACCAAATAAAATGTTGTTGTTATGACCTATTGGAGTAATGCCATATTATTTTTTTCAAGCTCAGGTTGTAAAAGTCTAGATTTGAGTCAATCTAATTGCGCTTGGTTGTAAAAACCAAAGTTTAGAACGATTTCGATTTACAGCCTTTTAACTCCAAACATTTCAGGGTAATATATTTTGACTCATTTTTTTTATTTCTAATGTATTTAATACATTTTAAGTTGGTGATGGGTTATTGTTATATTGTGATGTAGAGGATTGGATAGTTGGTAGAGTTGGCCCATCAGAATCCGAGGCCGCATCGAGATGCAGCAAGGGAGGTCGAATGGGTGGGAAAGACAGTGAGAGGAGAGGACTGTACACCCATTAGACTCACATTCGTGCAGAGAAATTCGTGGCTTTACATCCTTAGACATTTTGTTACAAATAAATTTGAAACTACTTACTCCATTCGAAAAGATACGAACCCCGCCGCGCCGCGCCTGTTGAGAGCCGCCGATGATAGCAGAAATACCTACATCATCGGCAACTCGTCATAGTAATTTTAGACATATCAGGGGTATATCAATCAAATTATAATACTACGTTTGTTTGTAAAGTCAATTTTCAATTTGAAATAACAGTCGATATTTCTAGAATTTGTATAAAATTATTGTACGGGATAAATATAGAATACGGAAATAAATCTGTTGGAATTTAAATCTCACTTTTAAAATTTTGTGGACTTTACCAACTTTGATTGTATACCCCTCTATCATATATTGTTAAAATAAGGTTCATTTTACAATAGTCACGGGTCTCCCTTTCCAGTGATGAAAGCCGGGCCATCGCCGGGTTAGAAAAGTTTTTGGCCCAATTTATTTACCTGTTATCAATAATAGTGCCTGTATAATAATAAGAATGCCTAAATATAATAAACGAAAAGTTTTTTTTTAAATAATATAATTTATTACCCAGATAGCAGTGGTCGTAACGCACATTTGGCAGAGATACATGGTTTATACATCCCTTTTGCTTTCGTTTTTTTTTTGTTTTAACGATATTAGTGGTTTATACTACGTCGTATAAACCACTAATTTACGGCACAATGAATTCGAATGAAATTTGACACACAGATAATTCAACACAATGAGAAAATATTACAGTTTTGGATAACTTGAAGTGTGAGTGTGATCGACTGTTCACACCACTCTACCACTCGTGAAATCCTACAAATAATAAGTTTGCTTTATATGAAAATAAAACATTTTTTTATTTAATCAAGTCGTTCTTATTCAAGAAAACGAACTAGGTATTCATTAGCTGCAAGGAAACATGAATGTATTTTTATAATTATAATTACTGTCACTGTACCGCTTGATTAACGTTGTGTTTACGTTTTCTTAAATTAAAACGATTTGATAAAACAAATAAAAATATTTTTCACTTTGCTTTAGTAAATACATATTTTTTGATAAAGTCTAGTACATGTTTCAAATACAGTAAAACGTATTGCGGGATAGGGGAAAAAACGCACTACATATTAATATTTATTATCTTCTATTATTATTTCGAACTAGCAGCCGCCCGCGATTTCGCACATGTGGAGAAATAAAGGTTCACTGCTCTTTTCCCGTAGGTGATAGCGTGATAATATGTAACCTATATGTTGACCCGACTTCTTAATAATATTCGTGCCAAATTTTAAGTAAATCCAGGCAGTACTTTTTGAGTTTATCCTGGACATACATACAGACCAATGGACAAAAATTCTAAAAACTATATTTTAGGCTTCGGTATCGAATGTAGATCACACCCCAAGTATTCTTTTAAAAAAATATTCAATGTACAGTTTTGACTTTCCTACCATTTTATTATATGTATAGATGTAGGTATTGAAGTTTTATATGTACAATGTTTTATAAATTTGTGTGTTCTTCTTGATCATTATCACTTATGGCTTCTTCTTGTGTGTTATCAAGAGGTAATATATGTGGTACGTGTTGGCGTATTAAACAGGATGATGAATCGTATTAAGCGTTGAGAAATGTATGAAACTTGAACAGCAGCGCCATAACGGACGTAACGAGAACTAAAATTAACAGATAAACAGATAATTAAAATGGGGGTTTTTCTTAGAAAAATAAACAAGACTATTATTATACGTAGTCTTTTTTTAGAGACATTCCTAAAATATCTCGCTTCGCTGTGATGAAATTTTGTATAGACTTCAGCGAATTTAAACGGTGCAAACCAATTTGAAACTTAGGAATCACCTAAATATTTAAGACTGAGTTTAGGTGGCTCCCAAGTTTGGAATAAACAGCACATCTTGTAGGTCTTAAATTCCGAATATGATATTTGAATAAAAATCTGATCTTTTATATAGTACGTACATACCTACGTTTAGTTGCAATTTACAACAGTAGAATATCACACAAAATATTCGGACCGGATCACGCTGATTACGATCAAAGGTCACATTCATACCATCTTCAAAAGCCTCAGGCTTGATTATGAGATCAAAGGTCAGTAATATTTCTCGTAGCTTTTCTTTGCCCATCGCTCATAATAGGTAGCTCTTCATCACAAATAATTTTTGAGCATCTATACCAACACTGTGTTCATGATTAAAAAAACGTTTTCAAAATATAAAGACATTTATTGATTTGTGTGTTGGCAAAATGTATCATTACTCAAGAAAAACCCCAGTGTCCCTAATTTCAGGTGTGAAAAGTGGTAAGTGCGGCATAAATAATGAACTTTTACTGTCTTTAAGTAATACATATATAACTATTTACTTTGTCCACACAACAACCAATCACTTTAACAGACGAATCTTAGTTGATCTCAGGAGGAGGAGTCCCACACTAAACTCGACTCTCACTCGTAGGCGAGGTCACTCATTTCCCTAACATAAAAAGGGTGTACTTACCTACTCTTAAAAACATTCGATAATCATGTACTTCGTCATGAGTAAGTAAGAATAGTATCAACTATAATGACTATCATAATACTAAATTCGAAAGTTAACATTGTGAAGTTAACAAAAAAAATGGACACGAGCGATTCGGGCTCGTCCACCGTGGGTTCCGTATAAATTTGTAGGTGCGTAACATAAACGGCCATATCTTTTTAATACTTTCACTTATCAATTAGTTGTTTTCGCAGCTTAAGCAAATATTAGGATTTCCGACTTCAGCATGCTTAGATAAATTTAAATATATAATGGTATACTAAGCTATTTAAAGAAAAGTCATCAGAACTACACTCATCAGTGTGACTCGCTCCATTTCAAGGAATAATCTGCATCATAGTCATAAGGCCCCCATTATCCTAATATGCCCAGGGCCTCCAATAGGTTATGATGGCCCTGGGTGCGTGTGATATTTCTTTCTTCTATCTTTCTATAGGCTATGAATTACAAATCTAGACGACCTCCGTGACCGAGTGGTTTGTACGCCGGGTTTCATGGTGTCGCCGACTCGAGAGGTTCCGGGTTCGAATCCCGGTGTAGGCAGATGTTTGTATGATGAATATGAGCATTTATACTCCATGAATGTTTATTATGTTTTATTAAATAAATATACTTATATATTTACAGTATATATATTCTATCCGTTGCCCTAGTATCCCATAACACAAGCCTTACAGTGCTTACTTTGGGGCTAGGCTAATTAGTGTGAGTCTAGGAAATATTTATTTATTTAATTTATACTGATTAAAAATAGGTATATATATAATTATAACCTACTTATCTTGGAGTAGATCCGGTAACTATTTACTTAATTAGGATGGTTTAATTTACCTTGCAGTTGCATGTTGATTCTCACGATTGAGTAGAGTAGTATTTAAAATGGTTCTACATTATCCAATTTATTTATTTTGTAGTCATAGTTTTACTATCAGATCCATAGCATCACATCACCTTATTAACTTCACGGAAGCTCAAAAAATTAAAACTCAAAAAATATCTAGTAGTAGTATAATGGTATATACGCTCGTCGCTACACACGCACACATTGACTGCTTTCAAACAATCTGACAATAAAGTCACGCACACATTGCGCGTAACATGAGCCGTTTTCATTGCGTGGTTTATTTGTATTTCTCTATCTAGGCGTGTGTACAATCAAAGAGTAGCTTACCAAATACAAATGAAATACTAATAAATAGGAACGACGCACGTAACAAATGAATAACTGTTTATTTTGAAATTAAAAAAACCACGTATCATCATAA